AGGTCCTGCATCACCACCTTGGTGTCCTCCTGTAGGCTGTCTCCACCCATAGCCTCGTACACCCTCTCCAGCTGCACGCGACACTGCTGAATGTTGTTCATGAGGATGCAGGCAGTCTCCTGTGTCTCGCGCCAGTGGTCGTAGCCCGCTTTCACAACTTCGGCGTAGGTAAGCAGTACCTTGCCCACAGTCTGTATGGATAAAAAAGACGCACGGAGCGTGAGTTCATATGCGCAAAATGGGCCTAGGATAGGCGTAGCAGCTTAAGAATAGTGGTACATGCTCCACTGAAAAAAACTCAAGGAAAGAGTCCTAGAAAGATTGACATTTCTGTGTGGACCAGGCTTTAGGAAATGCATCTTGTTAAAAAACGCAAAGTCCTCAATGAAATGGTGTGCCAAGAGTTCCGTTAGAAAGTCAGGTTACCTTAAATTTTATTGGGCAAGTAAGCTGAAATTCTGAGCGAATTCCGGTATTCTGGATAATATGACGAACTTTCGGATGCGCAGAGTATCTCTCCGACTCTTCGGCTGCGAAAATTGTATTAATGCTCTATTTTTCCTAGGTAATTACAAATGCCGATCTCTTTTACTCATTCATTCATAACTTAGGCTTGGCTTTTTAATGCAAAATTTAATACAAACGATAACATATCAAGCCAAATGGCCTGGAAAGCGCAACCCATACTTAAGCATGCATCCATAAACACGTTTTAGGTATTTGAGTTGTTTTCAAAAAGGACATAAATCAGTAGGAGACTCTGTTATTGGCCCTTAGTGCTACACTAAATGAATTTGCGATCTAAGCCCACATCCTTAAACAACACGATTGGATGTAGCTTCACTATCTCGAACAATCGCAAACTCTCTTTAAAGTCACCCTCGAAGAGTCAACGACTCTTCGGTTCCAAGTAGCCTCTTGTCAAATTCTTAATTAGCACTCGATTGCCAGTAGTTTCGAGTCAGCGCTGCTTGCTTGCGGAGGAAATTACCCAGAGAAAATTAGAACGAATGCGACACTTCAGCGCGGCAATTACCGACTTTGCGATGAGAGCGTGTATCCGTAGTTTTTTCTTTTCTTCAATAAACGCAGTCTGCGCTTGCATTTGACAGAAAGAAATTGGACTCAACGAAGCAGACCCTATGTGGGGCAGCAGATGCCGCTATCAGCGCAATTTTTGCCTTCACTTGCAGCTTAATTAATCATGTCTTGTGGCTGATGACAATGCGAACAGACTAGTCTCCTGATTTCTGGAGCTACGAAACCTGACAGGAAAAAATAAATGCAGGTGCACTCTTTGGACTGTTTCCACCTCCATTCTGTTTTAGAATATTCTTTCTTCCACATCCTTATTGAGGAATTCGCTTCAGAGATAAGGATCCAGCCATGAAGTCAGTTTTTTAGAAGCCAAAACGGACAAATGAAAATTGAGACAAGGTCCAAAACGGAATTCAAGAAGTTAGCTTATCCTCAATGTGGATGTTATATGATAAGGGGGCATTTACGAAGATCAACAGAATAGTGATCACTATAGGGTCTGTCAATCTTCGTTACCGATTATGTCTATCATGTGTCCTTCAGCAAGAGAACGCAACGACGGTGGCTGTCGCGTTACTTAGCTGATGATAATAAACGACTCCCACCGTATCTACCGCTCTCGCCCCCACCTCACACTTCTAAGTTCGGTGCCATTACAAAATCAGGAATACCGGAGGCTAGATCGGGTGCAGGTTGCGTGCGCTGCGTGAGTCATCACACCTTCCCCCCTTGCGTGGCCTATGTTATGATTGCGCAGTCCTAGTAACGCCTGCCGTGTTCTGATTGGGTCCCAGTGTTGGTCTAGCATTTGTACTGGGTGCCCCATCCTGCGGGCACGGATTTGGGCCTAGGGTTAACCGGGGATCCCCCAGTGTTTCTGGGATTAATTCGGCTTTCAAAATAGGTCAAAGATCGCCAAATGAACGTTTTTTGTAAAATATGCTGAATGTATGCTTGTTGGTCATCCTCTCGAAAGTCAAAGACATCCTCAGGTACTGAAATATGGTCTGGACCACGTCTCAGTATGGGCCTTAGCCAATTGTTTTCGAGAGAATAACCAGAATTCAGTCGATTGCGTTCTCCGATTGCGAATCTCTCCCAGTCCTGAATCTTTAGACACCTTGCTCAGTTAGGTATCTTCTTTCCGGTACCGAGGTGTTAATCTGATATCAAATCTTTCATTTACTCTTCACATTTAAACTCTCTTCATTAAAATTCATAAAATTCTCTATTTATCCGTCGGTTACATTCATATCACACGAATCAAATCCTAATCTTGCGATTCATATATGCCTGCGTTCTCCCCCTCACTCTGTGGTGCTCTCAGATTATTTTTCAGGCCTAAAATAAAAAAAGACTTGTTGATTTTCGAATGTATCATCTGAATGCTCTCTTCAGCTGCTGGTGTTTCGTATGCATTTTTCTTGGCATTGTAATATAACGACGA